TGACCTAGAAAAATGAAAATCGTATTGCTTGTCTGAGAAAGATGAGAGATGATGAACCAATTCAGCATTGATTAGGGCCTCTAGGAGTTTCCCAAAATGGGGTAGAAGGGTAATAGGTAGATGGGTTGGACGTTTCACCAGAGTTCTTAAAAACTGGAACAACAGACAGGCAGGAGGCAGTGAGGCATTTATTATACAGTTTAGAGAGAACAGGAGCCAGATCAGGAGCACACTCCTTAATGACTATTACAGGGATACTATTAGGTCCACATGCTTTGTGGAGATCAAGGTTAGAGGTGATAACAGAGACCATGGAAGGGGTTATATACATATCACTCAGCAGAGAATCAGTTTGAGGAGAATTTACAGGCAAAGCATTCATCTTTATCAGCAGAGGATAATAACTTCTCAAATTGATTGAAGAGAAGGGAATAGAGACCTTGCACTTATTTAGTACCCTATTACAGAGATGCCAGTAGTCACGAGAGCCAAATTTTTAGAGGCGATGCATTGCCTCATTCTCTCGGCAGAAAGGGACTTACCTCCTTCGATGACTCTCTTACATTTGTTATGAGCAGTAGCAAATAGGCACCTGTCATGACAAGAGCTGTCACACTGGTATAGCCGGAATTAGTGGTTCTTGTATTCCAAGCATACTAATGTGAACCATTAAGAGGATTGTGATTTCACCTGGTCTTTCCAAGAAGGGATGAAAGCATCCATGCCAGCTTTGACCCAAGAAGAAACCTTAGTGGCTTAATTTTCAATTGTGAGGTTGAAAATGTTAGTCCAAAGGGCGTCATGAAGAAAATCCCAGAATGAGTCCCAATCAGCATAATAGAAAGTGGTCTTATGGATAGGGGTTTCCTGTTTAATAGATGCATGGAAGTAGATATCAATAGCTACCACAGAGTGGCCAGAGTTACCAAGAGTGCAGTATTGCAAAGCTCAGCAAGAGAAAGGAGCGGAAGTAAAGAATAGATCCAGTAAAAAAGGCTGTTGCTCAGTTTGGCTAAGGAAATGAGTAGGGAAGTTCATGATTTGAATGAGGAATTAATTATATTTTTAGTTCTTAATTCTTCTAATGAAACCATCTTCAACAAAGCCAAAAAAATATTACAAAACAACCTTAAAAGATTTTCAGCAACACTCATATACACACCACATAGTACAAAAGAAGACAAGGGGAAAAGAAATATCTTATGGTTTAATCCACCATAGACCAAAAATGTAAAAACAAATGTAGGAAAAATATTCATTAAACTCATACACAAACACTTTGTACTATCAAGCACTTTCCACAAGATATTCAACAAAAACACAGTAAAAATCAGCTATAGTTTCACTGAGAGCACGACACAATAAAAAAAGCATGACAGAAGAACAACTGCACACATAAAACCCACCTGTAGATGCAGAACAAAGAACAAATGTCCTTTAAATGGCAATTACTTGCAAAACAATGTAATATACCAAGCCACTCTAAAATCAGAACCTAACAAAGAAAAAAATATACATAGAAGTAACTAAAGGACCCTGGAAACAGAGAAACTACACACAAAACATCCTTTACAAATAGTAAATGCACAAACAGCAAAATCCTTTCTAAACATATATTGGAAATTAAAAAAAAGGCAAATTGCACCAAAACTAATATAGAAAATAAGAAAAAAGCATCAGCCGACAACAGTAAATCCAAAAACTGTAAACTTTGTCTGCAGGAGAAAATAGGTATAATCACCTTCCCAGAGCAACACAAATTCCTAAATAAATGATCAGAACTTATCTCAAAATGCAGGCATGAAAACAATAATAATAATCAACAACAAATAATTAATCAATAATAAATATTGAATAAAAAAATTAACAAAACATCATTATAAAATAGCTGCAAACAACCACATTCAGATCCACAATTATTTCTACTCTAGAATAATTTGAAACATAACCATTACTGCCTACCCAGTGACTGTTAGGATAATACAATATATCTTGCTACCCATAATGCACTGAAATATAAGCAAGATATATTGTATTATCCTAACAGATGTGATCATATTGAAATGGAACGCTGATCTTGAAAAATTTCAGTTGTCTGTTTTGATTAGTCTTACTCTTATGTCCATCGTCTTTTCATGTTGAATTAAATATAGTCTAATGTTAATTATGTTTTATGAATATGTCCTGAAGATGGTCTACTAGACCGAAACATCCGACGTTGACATTATATTAACATTAAAACAGCATAATTGCATATTAGGATTTTTGTTTGTTTATTTTCTGTATATTTTTCTTCATATATATATATATATATAAAAACAGTGTGAAAATAGAAGTCATGGTAATAATCAAACATGGTTAGGTGATCTCTTAAGGTGTGAAATTAATGGCCACATTTTGATGGAGGAGAGTGTGAGTAAGTACTTATGTAAGCCATTCTCCTGTAACTAACTTACCTGTCCAGGCAGTTAATAACTAAAACTTGTTACACCCCTTATAAGCCTTGACAGGAGCAGGTCAGATGATAGGGAGAGATCTAAAAGTTGTTGTAAAATGCTTTCTCATGCTGTCATCATTAAATCTTACAAATCCCAGTTATGAAAACTTAACAGTTAAGAATAAAATATTTCACACACACACACATCTATCTATCTATCTATCTATCTATCTCTATCTCTCTCTCTCTCTCTCTCTCTCTCTATATATATATATATATATATATATATATATATATATATCATTTTTTTCTTTTTTAAGGTATGCTACACATGAGTGACTTGTATCTAATATACTGGTATTTAAATGTGAATTACAGCATTATTAAATCTGCCAGGATGAAGCCAATAAATTTTTTTTTTCTTAAATGACAAGGTTAACCCATTGATTTCCACCATGAAATCCAGTATTAGTAATAAAAATTAAAATAAGTACCCAATATTAATTATAGGTTTATAAAAACAATCTAGTATTATAGATTCATAAAAATGAACTATTAACTCATTCACTGCTGCATTGTTGCTTGGCTGTGCTGGTCCATTTTAGGAGAAAATGAGAAATGGGCATTTACTGGAAATCAATGGCTATAAAGACGCTGATGTTGATTTCTCATGGGTGCTACCATTCTGCTCTCCAGACTAAGCTAAAAGGTACCCCTAACATGCAATATAATGAGAGTACCTCATAAAATATCTTGTATTGTATACTAGTTTTGCTTTTAAGCATTTAGAAAACAGAATTCTTTCTTTATGCTCATCACTTCAAAAAAGGAAGTTGTAGTCAAGGGAGACAAATCTGAATAGCTTGCCATTAAATGGAAATTTTGATTATAAAATGATATGTAACAATTGAATGAATGTTAATGGTAATATTAGCTGTTTCCTTATAAGGAAACATTTGGCATTCATTGACCAAGCAGCCAGTGCTGCTTTTGGTTGAAATTTATAAAATCTTTATCTTAAAACACTTTTTTTTTAGGAAACAAGTTTTTCGAATCTAGTAGCTATTATCACTGTTATTGACAGGGGTTTCATTCCAAACCTTCTATCTGATCTTATATGGAATGTTAAGATCTTGATTACATCATTATTTTCTCTTTGAGTTACATGTATTATCCATTTTAGCTGTTGCTAGTACTCAAGTAATGTGGCTTCTATTATTTGGTACAGTTGTTTGTGGTTCTGTAGCACCAGTCCAGGATGATCTTTGCCAAGAACATCAGGCTTTTCTTGCTCAAAGCCATTTTTCATCATTGATCTCAGAAAGCAGTTTTATACAGCTGACACTTTAGATATTTTGGAATGGGTTTGACACCATGCATGGCATCCATGTAAAAGTCTTGATCTGATGAGGCTAGTGAAGAACATGACCGTAGTTTTCAGGTTGATATTTTGGTTTCATAGAAATTTGCAGTGTTGAGCAAAAGTACCTCCAGTGCAGCCTATTCTGTGTTCAATTTCTTTTTTTTTCCTATACTTAATTTGTTGTAGCTGATCCAGACACTAAGGTATCTGAAGTGTTTACTATTTACTTATTTTTTTTTTTTTAAGCATTTCACCACAAGTAAGGCGGGAAGCCATTAGCACGCAAGGAGTTATAGAGAGTTGGAGCAAGAGTGAATAGGAGTGATAGAGGAATGGATGAAGAGAAGGATAGGGGATAGATCAAGACTTTGATTGACATTACATTTGAATAGTTAGAGATTATAGCTATCAGGGAAACAAGAAAAGGGGGAGGGAGTTCCACAGGCAAGAGGTGCAAGACCTAAAGCTATTGGTCTAGAAGAGACAGCTACATTTAACAGTTTCGACTGTGAAAGGGTGAGAGCGAGATGCCAGCCTAGTTGAACGCTTAAATTCATGAAATCTGGGAACCAGCGAAAGCAGCTCATCAGAGCAGTTACTGTGAAAGTATTTGCAATTTTGTACTGACCGTGTTTGGGAAATAAAATATTTTTATAACTCTAGATACATACATAAAAATCCATACATTCAGTTAAAAATAAAAATCATCCTTGATAATGGTTAATAGGATTGCCAAAAGTGCTCAGATATGCACACTTATACGCACACAAGAAAAAATTAAATAAAAGGCTTAATCACACAACCTTGCCATTCATCTTTAATGAAACATTTATAAAGGAGAGATTGCTACCCAAATGCACAATTATTTATATATATGTAATACTCTTCAATAAAATGAATTGAGTTCTCTCAGTCACTGGCATGTTTATCTAAAAATAAATACACTTAAATTCACCTTCTTCCCTGCCATGCACCAACGGCTTAGGGGTAGATTCTCTGACTGATGCCAATTCAGCCAGGTTTCAATCCAGCTAGAGGCAACTGGACGTATAGACACACTGATGAGTTGTGATACAGCAAAGCAGTCTGTATGTGGATAACAATAAAAATATATATATATATATATATATATATATATATATATATAGCTAACAAAATTTTCTCTACAACACTGATAACACTCAGTTTTTGATAATGACTACAACCATATCATGTTGAAATACCGGTTCCCATACGATCACCAAAGTTGAGCAATGTTTAGCCTGGTCAGTAGCTAGATGGGTGACTTCTTGGAAATATCTATTTTTTTTATCATTTTTTTTTTTTATCATTTGACAAGCAAGGTGATAATGTCACTGTGATATAAGTAATTACTGGGAGTGAAAGAGAATGAGAAAACTTTAGAGGAAATGAGACAATAAAGAGACAGGGTTTAAGGAAAACAGAAGACGGTAATTACATTTAAATTTTTGAAGATTCTAGGCAGCAGGTAAGCAAGAAACTGGAAGAGAGTTCCACAGGTGAGAAGTGTGACAAAAGAAACTATTAGAATAGAACTTATAGTTACATCTACCTATTTCAACAGTTAAACGGCAAGGCCAAGTTACCAATCTAGTAGTACAGTCAAGGCAGCAAGGAAAGCTCATCAGAATAATTTCCATGGAAATATTTATAGAAAAGACAAAGGAAAGCTGTGTCACAGCCATGGGAAAGTGACTGAAGTCAAGATGCCAGAATCAAGGTGCTGTCGGCTTGGGTGTGCAGGTGGTGTAATGGATAATGATACAGAATTTAAAATCAGAGAGCTGAGTTCCAATTCCAATTAGGTTCGTTATATTCACTTAAACACAAATATTCTTGGGAAAAGTATAAATTCACCTCTTCTTCACACCAACTATGGTTTAATTAGGACAACTTTTATCAGTAAATGAATATTATCTCCCCAAAAACAATACAATCTAAAAATATTTTCTGGCTTTAAATAATCTGCAAGCCATAAAAAACAAGCCAACCAACCAATCAATCAATCAATCAAATGGAACTTTCACCATCTTAGAAAATTACAAAACTCTAATGTCAGTTTTTGTCAAGACTTGTCTTTTATTCTGTCACAATAAACCTTCATTTCAACAAGTAAATACCAACTCTACCTGCAGCTATGTCATCTTCTATCTGTGGTGCAGCCTACAAGAGATGTGGACTTTTTACAGGCAGGGTAGAACATTGTAGAATCTGGCCAGGCCAAACAAAACTCCACCAAGCAAGATGGCTGATGGTAGCCATAAAACCCATTAGAGATATTGACTTGGACAATAAACCAGCTGCTATTGCTAGCTTTTCATTGGCTGCATGCTCAAGGCTGGTGAATAAGGATTGGTTCCCTACCCACCTACTGAGTTAATGTCACCCACACCCAAACCCAGCTTGGATGTTATATCCCACACACAAAGCATGTGAACAGAATATACGCAGACACAATTTTATATATATATATATATATATAGTTAAATGGGTGGAGATGCACAGACATCCATGCATACATCTCTTTCTTTCTTTCTCTCTCTCTCTCTATATATATATATAATTATCATTATATATTAATGTGTTTTCTATCACTCTAATACATGTGTGTATAAATTCTCTATATAATTATGTGTATGTGAGTGTGTATATATATATATATATATATATATATATATATATATTTTGTATCTAATGTATGGTTGTCCACAGATGCATATTCTATGTTTATTTTCTTTTGTATTCTTTGTATATATATATATATACATACACACACACACACACACGTGTGTGTTTACATTTATGTGTGTGATATATCTACACAAACTATACATTCTCTTATATATATATATATATATATACACACACACATACATACTTTTCGTATGTTTACATCCATCCATCCATCTCTCTCTCTCGATATATACATATACACACACATGCACAAAAATATTCTTTATATATACATACACACACACACACACAAAATATATATTCTCTCTCTCTGAATATATATATTCAAACGTTATATGTTTGTGATTATATCATTCATGTGTGTGTGTATATATATATATATATATATGGAGAGAGAGAGTATACACAAAATACACACATTTCTTCTCTCTTTCTATCTCTCTCCATATATATCTATAGATAGAAAGAAAGAAGAAATGTGTGTATTTTGTGTATACTCTCTCCATATATATATATATATATATATATTCAAACATATATATTTTTTCTCTATGTTTGCATGCATATTCACACACACACATATATATATATATATATATATATATATATATACACACACACATTCTCTCTCATTAATACACACATGTAAGTGCATTTGTGCAGTATGTATATCTGTTAGTAGACTTTCCAACCCCTTCCCTCTCACATTTTGACTCTGTTATTGCAATCCCTTGGGGTACCCCATCCTACTACCCCTAACTGTCTCCCTTCACAGTCTGGTTGGAATGGTTTGGATGAACGGTGGGTTTTGACTGGGAAGAACACCCAATAGGGACTTTTTCTCTTCCTTTTTTTTGTTCCAATTTTAGCTTTTTTTTTTTATCCTCTTTTTACTTGTTATTTATTTATTCATGTTTCTTTTTTGTTTTCTTTTACCTTCTGTGTGTTTCTTTTGTTTTTCATCTTCTTTTTTTCTTTATTTTTTGGCTTTTTCTCTATTTTATTCATAAGGCTTCTTTAGAGTTAATTTTTATTTAATTTTTTTTTTCCGGATTACTTATTCTTTATTGGTCTCTTTATAACTTTATTGCTCCTATTTACAATAATAAAAGAGTTTCTGTCCATCCCATTTATTAGACCCAAATTTTTTCTTTAGAGGGATATTTTGAATCACTCTTTAACAAACTTAAAATTTATCTAGTCTGATCCAAGGTTATGAGGAGCACATGAACTGCGCTCTAAAATTGAAATCTTTCAAAATGTTATTGCTCATTCACAAAATAACTAATGTTTTTGTTGTAACCTAGAGAAGGTTACTGAATTGAATAATCACACGATGGTTGGTAATGAACGACAATATTTGGACATGAACAACACATATAAGATTCACCAGCGATGTGTGGAAGAAAATGCCAACTGCTAGAAGTGAGTGAATTCCACAATGAATCTTCAACTGCAGACCAACATACAGTATTTACTACTGTATTTATGTAAATGGGAACATACCCATTATTGTCTGTAGGTTTCTTACAACAGTTTTCCGCTGACATGAAGTGGAAAGAGTATATTAATCCATTGCTAGGTTTGCTGCTGGTAAAGTTGGTTCACTGTGTCATGCTCCATAATTTTTTTCACCAGAATCTTGGATATTTATAAACTTACCATTCATCCTTGCTTTGAATATTGCTGCTGCATCTGAACTAATGCTTCTATTATACATTTAAAGATTCTTGATAAAATCCAAAGAAGAATCTGTAATGTTATTGGTCCTGACCTGTCTTTTCTATGAATACTTTCATGGTAATTGTTCTGATAAACTATTCTCTATAGTGCCTAAACTTTAAGAATTTAGGCACAGTACTAGATTGGCAGCAAAATCTCATCATTTTGCAGTTGAAATCGCTAGATGTAACCATAATTTCTATGCCAACAGTTTCTTCTATCACACTTCTCGCTTGTGGAACTATCTTCCAGCTTCTTGCTTCATAGTCAACTTTGATCTTCAAAAATTTAAATGCAGTGTCAATCATTATCTTCCATTATAATTCTTATTTATTTATTATTCTCTTTCATTAATAATAGTTTTTGTCATATTTTCTAACACTTCGTAAACTCTTGCATCCTAGTGGCTGTATTGCCTTGCTTAAAGTGAAATGATAAAATATATATGTGTGTGTGTGCATGTGCATATATATATATATATATATATATATATATATATATATATGTATAAAAAGAAAGTGAACATTAGAGTCAACAGGCTGTTTCATGCTAGACACAATCGTCAGGCCACGGTGGCCTGACGATTGTGTCTAGTATGAAACACTTTTATATTTGCATACGCTCTATCTCTGATATTGAGCAATTTATCCCATAAGTAAAGCACACCTTAAAACTATATTTCTTCAAATATATATATATATATAATTAATAAGCCAGTGAAAAAATTGGAAAGGTAAAAAAAAATAATATTGATTATAAAACTATATATATATATATATATATATATATATATATATATATATATTCCTTGATGGTTCTAGATTGGCAGTATGTTCTATGCTAACAGTTTCTTTTATTGTACTTCTTGCTTATGGAACTTTGGTCTTGAAAAATTTAAATGCAGTGTCAATCATTATCTTCTTATTCTTATTCTTAGTAGTAGTTTTTTCCTCATATTCTCTAATACTCAGTAACCCTTTGTGTCCTAGTGGCTTTATTGCCTTGCTTGGGGTGAAATGATTAAAATATATATAATTCTTATATACTGTAGCATTTACTTTGCCATGGCACCAAAAGAGTGAGCCAACATGAGCACAACAGGACATCCCCACATCAATATGCTACAACTTCCAAATTATTTTTCGCACACTTGGGAAGTAATCTTTCACTTTTATGCCATGTGACGTACTGTTTGTCAACAGAATGAAGCAAATTAAACTTTCATAGCTGAAGTACAGTCTTGGGCAATTCTCATTGGTCCAGACTACGTGCTCATTTGCAAAGGCTAATCTAGCTTTTTGTTTTTTTTTTTTCTTGTTGACGGTTTTAACAGCGGGAGAACAAACATAAAGCCTTACTTCACATAAACAATGTAACACCGTCTACCGAGACAATTTCATGTCAAATTCTACAATGTTTGTTATTGCTGTTTCAAAAAAGTCCACCAAAGTTTGTCTTTAAATTATCTGATTTTGCTGAAGAGCCATTCTCTTTAGTCAGACTTAAAGGAGCTAATATCTTCTTGTTGTTAGCTTCATGAACGTAGTTTAGATGTGGCACATGGCCGAAAATATGGAGCACCCAGTGAGAATCAAACTAACTATTCAGTTGTAATTGTTCTAGCAAGACAATCTTGCTAACCATTACACTACAACAAAGTAACCAGTGATTTTCTAAGTGTAGTTTAGATGCAGCACAAGGCTGTAAGTATGGGGCACCCAGTGAGGATTGAACTCACTATTCAATTGTTGTTGTTGTAGAGAGACAATCTTGCTAACCATTACACCATGTTGAAGTCTCCCTTGCCTCGCATACATATTCAAGATGTTAATATTATTTCATTGACACCTTATGGTTTTGGAAACCCCTGTCCAATACTCTATCCACTGAATGATTTCATTTTGTAAGACATTCGCACTGTAGACAACTAACGTTGGCCTTTCTTCCAAATCAAAAATATTCATCTTGTTGCCATAGAAACACAGTAAATGAAATTTTCTTCTATTATTTTACGTTATTGGGTTCTTTATTTTTCTAGTAATTTTTTTTAGTTTTCGTTTCTTCAAATCTCGATGCTGAAACGTTTTCAAAGTGTAGCATCTTTTTACTCTAATCTCTCACAAATATGGTCTTCCTGGCAGCCAGATTTCTTGTTTTTCCTTTTCTTATCAACACAGATTAGTGTAAACAGAAAAGTAGAATTTTTAAGGAAATTGGTACCTTAGCAAATAGTAGGAAAACTAAAAGACAATGTGTATCAGGTGAGCCTTCAACAGTCAATGTTTATGTCCTTGGTACATTTACAGATCTTAATTTGTCAGGTGCATACAGGAATTTGGGAGAGAGGCAGATCTTGATGAAGGAATTTTATGAAAATCAATCTTTTATCTACACTATCAAGATGGATGAGCAAGAGGAAGATTTACAAAGACAATGAAATGATTCCATGTCATAAGTGATTTGCCTGTATTAATATTTCTGTTATGCTGTCTTGTACATTTTACAAGCATGTGATTATACCAAAAGAAATAGAAACAAGATGTGAAAGAAATAATCTGCTCTAAGGGGCCAACATTTCAGCTCCAGTTTCAACTAACCCAACTTCGATCAATATAGCATACCTTAAAACTATGTTTTTATCATATATATATATATATATATATATATATATATATACACATAAATGTAATATAATGTAATGTGTATATATATATATATATATATATATATATATATATATACACACATATATTATCAAGTCAATTGTGAGGATTTTATTTTTCAACAAGTATTTATAAACAAAAGTAAAAATGTTGGTATTTCAAAATTTTTAAATTTAATAGGCATTCATAAATATTCATCAGGTTAACTGAAAAGTCCGAGTCAATTATGGAGGATGCTAAGTGACACAATTTAATATTGAACAATTGAAATAAATACTTGTTGCAAAATAAAATCCTCAATAAAGTCCGTCGGAGGACAAAATGCATCAGCTGAGATTAGTTTTCTTTTTGTCTTCATCCATATTGTCATTTTGCAGATATATTTTAGTTATGTCTGAAATTTTTACACATACACCCACACACACACACACACACTTGCACATGTCATGTACACACATTTCAAAAATTCCTACTTTGAACAACGTTTTTAATGCAGTTTTGAGTTGGGATGAGTTTTGTTATATAGGAATAAAATGTCACTGTCAACACTGGAGATTGAACACAGATCACCAGAGAGCAAACACAGGCGATCTCATTTTGAATAAGTAGGTCACATGATGGTATAGGAAATGTATATAAGGGATCACTATACAAATTACTATTTGGTGGTTACTTTTACAGTGAGTATTATCGAGCAAATACTATTAGTGCTAGTATTATTCGAAAGCGTCTGATACCAGTATTGTTCAACAGCATTACTATGGATGTATCTATGATTACAAAGTCTCTACTATAACAAGCATTTACAAAAGTGGCAACGAGTGTTCATTGACATCACAAAAAGTTTATCTTACAATTCTAAGATTTTGTTCGTGCAATATTTCATTATTATCAAAAAATTTTTCTGAGTAGTTTTGTACTTGGAAATGAATGTAGCAACATTCAAAAGTACTTAGAGAAAAGAAAATTTTTTTAAAAAAATATTATAAATTAAAAATAATGATGTTTACCGATAACATAAATTAATAAAATAACAAATTCGGAAATTTAAAAAATTTAATAAAAAATTTGTTAGTCAGAACTTGTCGATATTAAATAAATAAAATTGACAACAAACTGAAATCTTGTAAACTACCAGGAAATCCTAAATCCTATTTCTGATGTAACTAAGAAGAAAAATATCAAATATAAAATGATAATTAATAAAAAATTGAATAATTTATATAGAGACAAACTATATCTTCCTAATTCTACTGACAAGTTTATTAATTATTTGGATTACCAACTCACAAAATAGTAAATAGAATTACTCAACCCTGAACCAAACTGCCATCTTTACTCCACTTTTGATAATAATGAAATATTGCAAAACAAATCTTAGAATTTCAAGATAACAAACTCATCATAATTCAAACCTGGATTAAAAAAATTGCCCAAAAATTATTGCATTAATATATATATATATATATATATATATAATCATCCACAGATATCACAGCTCATCAGTGTGACTAGATATCTGATCACTTCAGGCCAGGACCAAAACCTGACTGATTAGGTATCAATTGAAGATTCTAACTCCTGGGCCAACGACACCAGGTAAATATATATATATATATTCTAAAAGAATGAACTGATTTCATGGTACATTGCTTCAGTTCTCAAGTTTCATCATGGAATGAGTCAGTGACCATTTAAAAGAGAAGTTTTCTAAGTTTTAAATGGCTGCCACAGGGGTGCTGTAGTCGTGTAAATCCATCATCTGACGGAATTTATCAAGGCAAATGAGATGATATATGACGGAATTTAGATTCTAACATCTAAACTATTCAGTTAACCTGGTGAATATTTATGAGAGTTCTTAAATTTAAAAATTTTGTCCAACTGCCAAATATATACCTGTTGCAAAATAAACTGTTAGCTATTATATTTAAACTCGAAAAATCATATCTATATTGTAAGCAATAATTTATTAATCAATAATCTTAATTATATAACTTCTGGTATTAGTTTATACTGATTCTAACTAAATTTTCATATATTGTGATAATTTTGCTTAAAATTTGTATTTTCTTGATTACAGATGAAAACTTAGAAATTTTTACAACATATTTCAGTGAAATTTTAAATTTAAAAAAATGATAGTTTATAATTGAAACTTAGATATATGGAAAAAAGATGATGTCAGTTTAAACTGATACCAGAAGGATACAGGTTAAAATACTGTCTTCATTTCCATAATTCATGCCCACTTTGCTTAAATTCATATTTTCTTGATTTCTGATGTGAACTTGAACATTTTTCAATATATTTCAGTGAAATTTACACTTTCAAAAATGGTAGTTTATAATTATTGTTTAGATAAATGAAAGAAAGAAAATGTTAGTTTCAACTGAAACCAGGAAGATATGGGTTAAAATTTTCTCTGAATCAGAAAATATAGCCCTGGCCTTATTGATTTGTTCTTCAGTTGAAGCCAGTTGTCAGACATGGCAGTCCACTGTCATCTAAGAATAGTGCAACTCCCAGTATAATCAACTGTTAATACAAGTAATATTTCTAGTCCATGGCAGCCATGTTTAAGCAGAAGCTTTTAAATGTGTCAAAAGCATTCAGTTTTTCTTAGTCAGGAATTTAATTTGAGATTTTACTGTCTTCTGGAATGGGTCACAACACTGCAAATGACAAATAAAGTTTGTTCTTATTTAAGAGTAAAGATCAGTTTTCTGAATTTGTACTTTCTCCTGTTGTTTTTTAATGATAGGTTGGTACATGTTGCAACACACTCAACCTGTCAATTTATAAAATTATGTAATACATTTTATGGGCCTTTACAGGTAAAGCAGTTAGGAGAGATAACCTAACCAACCACTGTAGCATGTCAGTGACAAGATGTTTTGTTAAAATATCTGGGTACGTGACAGGGCACAGGGAGAAGTGGGGTTTTGCCTTTCACAATAAAATTAGTGCAAAGCAGGCATAATCATTTTCAATCAAAATTCAAACACAGTTTCCAGATTTCATTCTATGTGATGGTAAATGGTATGCTTTCATGCACTTTCTTTTTTTCTTTCTCTCTTATATAGATTCATAATATTCACACACGCATATACACACATATATATATATACCTACGTTTGAATACAAATGAAAATAGTAAAACAAATACTAGAAACTTTTCCATTGGCCTAAAGCTATAAAAAAATAACATGTCGAGTGACATTTCATAGATTTTTACTATATATTAACTTTCTCATGAGTTGGTAGAACAAAACTTCAAGTTGCACTTCAAATGTATGTATATGTATATTTATTAATATATATTTCTTAGCTCTGTCTAACCATGTTGAGCACTGTTTTGTTTACACCTTAAATTACATTGAAAAATATTTATACGCTTACTTGTGTATGCAAGCTAATGCACATATATACAGTTGCTAATATCTAGTTATGTTATTTATCCACTTTAATACCTATATATATATATATATATATATATATATATTGCTTCAAAGGTTATTATAATGGGCACCTATATTTTTATTTTAAACAGTGTTTGTTACATCTATTAGCCTACTCATTTGACAAATCTTATTAAAGAAAATGTGTTCTTCAGCAGGAATCAAACCTGCTTCCCTGTTTATAAGGGAAACCCTCTGTTTGATCCATTCAAACTGTTCATCCACAATGAAGGCCACAGTAAGCAAAGCTCTATTTTCCATTTTTAAGGGGAAGCAAATCCTCTTAACATAGATTTTTTCTTGATCGGCAATATCTTCTCAGTTTTATGCCCAAAAGCCTTGCAGATAAATCACATTCAAATACTAGTTCTTATATGATCACTGAAGTTAAGCAACATTGAGCCTGGTCAGTACTTAGATGGGTGACTCCTTGGGAGTACAAGGTGCTGTAAACTTTGATGTGCAGATGAGGTAATGCATAATGGCTTGGAATTGTTAATTGGAGAGCTGAGTTTCAATTCCCCTCTAGTTTTGTTATATTCACTTATACACAAATACCTTTGGGAAAGATATAAATCTACATCTTCTCCCCAGCTATGGGTTAATTAGTAATCACTAAATTTGTATCACTAAATCATTATTATCTCTAAAAGAAAACTTCTTATAATCTGAAATAATAGTTTTTCTGGCTTTAAATAATCTGCAAAGGGTTGATAAGCTGTAAAAAAAAAAAAGATCAATCATGCAAAAATAATTTCTAAAGAATTAATGGATTTATTTTTAGTCTAACACTTTTTTAAAAATTATTTCTTTAGAAATTATACACACACACAATTTCTCAGTGTTAACCTGTAGAAAAAGACAATATACAATTTTGTTTTTGCCTTGAAAAAGTCCGCATTGGATGAAACACATCGGCTAATAATGCAGTTTTCCTTCCTATTGTCTTTTACATTTTATATATATATATATAAAGTTTTGTTAAAAGTGACTGACAGGGTACTGTGATTAAGTTTTTTTACTTAATTTTTCTTGTGTTCTTACAATTTTTTTTTTTTCTCAACATAAATTATGTAGAAATTGTCTGAATAATAAAAAAAGAAAAAGCCAACACTCAATAATATCAACTATAAACATGACCATAAGGTTCTGACCATATTCATAAAATAAAACATTTCTCTAACTCTAGATACATGCATAAAAAAAAAAAATCCGTAGATTCAGTTAAAAGTAAAAACAAAATCATCCTTGATAATGGCTAAAAAAATAACTGAAAGCACTTGGACATACAGAACATTTGGACAATTTTTACATATATATATATATATATATATATATATATATATATATGTATAAGTGATATAAATATTTTTAGGGGGATTTAAATAATCATATTTAAAGTAATTCATTGAGTCTAGGAGAATTCTCAACAGAATGCAGAAAGCACTGGACAGCCATTTTGTCCTATTTTGGGATTCATCAGCAGTTCACATCCTCTACCAAGAATCGAACATGGACCATTACGATACAACACAAACATCATACCCACTGGACCAACACTGGACGCTTGTGTTGTATCATGACAGCCTGTGTTCGATACTAGGTAGTGGATGCACACTGCTGATGATTCCCAAAATAGGACGAAACGGCTGTCCAGTGCTTTCTCCATTTTATTGAGGATTCTTCTAGACTCGATGAATTACTTTAGATATGATATATATATATATATATATATATATATATATATATATATATATATATATATATATATATATGTGTGTGTGTTTTTAATACTATAAATGTTATATTGAGTTGATACATGTTTTTTTGGTGGGTATATTTTTTTTCTGAAACTGTGAAATTATTATCTACTGGCCTAATCTCTAGGCTAGTAGATATTAGTTTCACTTTTTTTTTTTTTTTAAAAAACCTAAAAGAAGGATATCTATTGAAACATTGCACTCACTAACTATAATGTTTATGGTAATAAGGACGATAAAGGGATCAGTGAGTTCTTAAAAACAGGAACTACAGAGGAAGACTTCCAACAGAGAAGCAATTGTTGTAGAGTTTGAAAAGAACTGGACTCAGCTCAGGAGCACAATTTTTAAGATGATGGCTGGGATATCTGTCACTTACACTTGACTTGTGGGAGTCTAGTTTGTAAATGATATGATAGAGTTATGCACATATCACTCAGCAGAGCCTCAGTTCTAGGGAGGAAATCAGATGTGGGTGCTTTTTATGAGGATATGTAGAATAGATAATAGTTGGGCCTAACCTTGAAGAGATTAAGATTGCATTTATTGGGGAAGCATCCTTTCAGGAGTAAGTTTCACAATGTAACAGTTCCGGAGAAGAAGCTGCCTGTGCGGAACTTCTTCCTTACCAATGGAATATGAAGGGAATGATTCATTTCTGTGTATGTGGAATGGCAGATTCTAGCTGTAATGGTTTAGACTGGTAAAACTAAAAAAGTAACTCATCTGAATGTCTGCAGTGAAAATAGTAATAGAGTAGTGAGATGCTGAGATGAGCAAATATGACTTATTATCTTCAGCATTTGTCCAATCAAAAAGAATTAGAAGATACTAACACCCTCAGGAAATGAGACCACCCTTCTGAGTGGATACTTGCTGAGTCAGGTATAAACATAGCCTATGTCTACCTTGTAAACTAATCGTATAACTACTTTTTGACTCAAGTGTAATAGAGACCTAGGTCTGTATTTTGACTCAAGTATAATCTGGACCCATGTCAGCTATTTGACTCAAGTGTAATCTGGACCCATGTCTGCCATTTGACTCAAGTGTAATCGGGACCCATGTCTGCCTTTTGACTCAAGTGTAATCTGGACCCATATCTGCCTTTTGATTCAAGTGTAATCTGTACCTATGTCTTCCTTTTGACTCAAGGGTAACCCAAGCCTATGTCTATCTATTAATTGTGATTTTTGTCCTATAAGACTTTATTCAACATTAAATTACCCAAGCTAACCTATTTTATATAAACACTGTTAGATATGCAAAATATGAAAGGTGTATCTGACATATACCCTTAGATACAAGCAAAAACATAGCATGACTTGTTTTGTGCACTACAATATATAATTTTTTATCAGAAATAAAGAATTTTCTCTTTTGAGTGTGAGAGAAATAGTACTCACAGTGAGTAACACAGCATTGTATGGATCAGATTTCATTTCTGATCCCAAGACCACCTCGATGTGGATCACATGAGAACACCAGTCAAATGCTTTTTGTATTTTGTTCTATGCAATGTAAACAAGTGTCTGTGGTTAGTTTCTTTGTTTTATCTTTTTTATTTTTTTGTGACGCAATTTCCCATGCATTGCTTGCTACTTTATTTGTTGTGACTGGCTTCTATCCATTTAAACAATAATATTCTTTTGGATGCTATAATAAAATTAAGAGTTCAATCCTGACAGTGTAAGTTAGTCCATTGGTAACATATCTAAAATGGCAAACAAAAGAAATGAGTCACTTAGCTAAAAATATCCATTTGTTTGACCCATATCCTTCTGGCATCAGTTTAAACTGATGCTTCCCCCCCCCCAAATGTCTAAACTATAATTATAAACTATAGTTTTTGGAAAGTGAAAACTTCACTGAAATATATTGGAAATGTCAAAGTTTTCATATGAAATCATGGAAATAGAAACTTCAAGCAAAACAGTCACAATATATAAGGAAAAAAAGATGATATCAGTTTAAACTGACACCAGGGAGATTGGTTTGGTTTTTGTTTTATGGCATATCAACCTCAATGGATTATTTAATGCCGACAAGATTTTTAGGATAGGTTTGTATGAATAGAATATGTATTCTTTGTAAGAAATCAGTTTATAGATCAAGTTTCATTGACATGTTTTTGTAAAGAGTCAAAGGTATTGCTGGTAATTTTTTTTCTTTTTTTTTTAAATGTATTGCTGGTAACAATTTTTAAAAATTTATTGCTGGTAATATTTTTTTCTTTTGTCTTTATTCATAGTCCTTTTACAGATATACTTTATCTGGAATTTTTACATACACACACACACATACACATATATATATATAGAGAGAAAATGTCTATGTTTAGTGTGAATTTTTATAATTTTTATATTTCTTGTATTTTGTTTATTTCTTTGCTATTGACATGATAGTTTCAAAAACTGGGAAACTATCTGAAGATATTAACTTTGTCTGGGTATAAAATGTCTGTGGCAAAAATACATCGATCGGACATTGTTCTCTCATATCTGAATCATTAATTCACACCTCATTCATAGGAAGAGCTCGACAAAAACCAAAAAAGTATTCAAAGCTATTTTTAAAACCAAGAATGTCACTTGTACATTGCTGTAGTTTGATGTCAGATCAGATACCCAAGCTAACAAAAAAATAAAATAAAATTCAATTGAATTATGCAAGTCTCAAGAACTTCACTGGTTTTCTCTCTTGTGTCTTTTGAAGATTTTAAATGTTTATTGTCATCGTTTCCAATTCCAGTGCCATTGTTTTAGCTCTTTTGTTTTGGAAATTGCAACAAAATTTTACTGGCAATTCATGACGGCTTGGCAGGAGGCAGTACTTTTAAGAGTTTTTTCTTCATTCAACTTGATGTCTGAGATGTTTCATTTTCCATAGTGCTGCTGTCATCAATAGCATTGGAGAAAAGTTAGAGAGACATATTAATGCTGTTCTGGCAGCCATCTTGCTTTTTCAATATCTGTCGGCCACTTCTATGAATGCTTGTCAGTGTTTAGTGTCATCTCTCTTCATACTGCAAAACGGTGTTTTGTTTTTGCTTTTTAGATTTTCACTGGTCAAAATGTAGTTCTCAAGTGAACTTGATGGCTATAAACATTTGTGTGTGTGTGTGTGTGTTGTCTTCACAAGTTAGTTAAAAAAACAAAACAAATTAGGGAATATTATTTTTTCCTAACAGAAGTAAATGTTCAAAAATAGTCACTCGATAAAATCTCTCTTTGGTATATTCATCTTCCTTAGTTCCAGGAATAAAATATCTTTATAGTCTTTTTAAGGCAGAACATATAATGAGGAAAGAAGGTGTAGAAAATTTAACACTCATAGGACCTATTGAAGGCAAGAGAAGCAGTGAGAATCAGCAAATAACCAACCTTCATGAGTTTGTCCTTGTTCTGCTATCCATTTACACAGGTTAAGGGTCAAAAGTTACTTTGTCTTTTCTTACTATTGTCCACAAGGCCTAAGTGCCACTCAAGGTAGATGGTTACTGAATGGGGACTTTTAAGGGCATATAGCAATGGTTCTTAGCCTTGTTGCCGGTACTGAACCCCACAAATTTCATCCATGCATTCACTGAACCCTTCGTAATTGGAAAAATAAAATCTGATTTCTTCAAAAGATGGGTATATATTTTATTAGTGCACAATGAACAATGTATCAGTTGCACACAAAATTACTAT